ATTTCCCCTCTGGGGGGGGGGGGTGCTCACAGAATTCAGAGCAAAGGACAAGAACTCCCAAGAAAGGATCTCTGAGGTCCCCTCCCTGAGGCTACAGTAAACAAGAGCTCAGGGAAGAGGCTGCTCTTGGGCTATGTTGGGCTTACAAGCTGTCTCGGGGCTTCCAGAGACATGCTTTCATGAATCCTTGCCCATCCAACTGCCTGGTGTCACCCTGCAGTGACTCTAACCAATTTGCTAGGTTCACCAAGCTAGAGTTGGCTGTATCTGAGGTGAACAGATGTTTGCCCACATCTCCCCAGGAAAAAGTGTGCAACTTTTTTTGGGGGGGGTGGGGTGGGAGACAGGTTTCTCTGTGTAACATCTCTGGCTGTCCTGGCACTCACTCTGAAGGCCAGGCTGGTCTCAAACTCATAAAGACCCACCTGCCTCTGCCTCCCAAGTGCTGGGATTAAAGGCATGTGCCACCACCGCCCGGCCAGTGTACAACATCTTTATTGTGGGAATCTTTTGCCTCAGTTGCCTCTAGTTCTGACTTACATAGAAATTACCAGGCCATTGCTAAAATACAAACTCTGGGTCAGGAGATAGAGGGAGAAGTCAGCATTCCCCCAGGCATCACCAGGTGATGGTGAGAGATGGTGAGAGACGGTGGTTGAGGTATCTGGTCCTTCCTGCATTGGTAAGGTTTTCCACTGTCTAAGGCCTAAGCATATGTAGACTGCAACATGAGAATGTCCTATTTATAGGGCTCTTGTTCTGGGACAGGCTGGGTACAGTGTGGGATCTGCCAGCTACATGGGGCAGTCTCTGAGAAAATGGCAACATGACTGTTAGGTTCCTGTAGGTTTCAAAGAACAAGACCTGCTCAGGGCAACTCAGGTGATGGAAATGTAGAGAAGTCAAAAAACAGCTGTGCTTGCCTTCAAGAAGAGACAACTATATGTAAGGCCACTGTGCAGCAAAGCATGGGGCAGGATGGGTCACTGCGTAGGAAGGCCATCGAGACAAAACATGGCATGTGCCTTGTGGTGGGAGCCTTGTAGTCTTCAGCCAGACTAGAACAGGGCAGAGGGCATTTGAGAAAGGTTGACAGTGAGGGTGGTAGTTATGGCCAAAAGCATGTTCTGGGGGCTGGAAGGATGGCTCAGTCGTTAAGAACACTAGCTGTTCTTCCAGAGTTCCTGAGTTCAATTCCCAGCAACCTCATGGTGGCTCACAACCATCCGAAATGAAATCTGGTGCTCCCTTCTGGCCTGCAGGCATACATGCAGGCAGAACACTGTATATTTAATAAACAAATCTTTTTTTAAAAAGCATGCTCTGCTGTTTCAGAAACACATGATCTGCCAAGAGGTAAACTCCAAGCTGGGCAGTGGTGATGCACATCTTTAATCCCAGCACCTGGGAGGTAGAGACAAGTGGATCTCTCAGTTTAAGGCCAGCCTGGTCTACAGAGTGAGTACCAGAACAGTCAGGGCTACACAGAGAAACCCTGACTTGAGGGGGGGGAAAAAAAGGTAAACTCCATTTTCCCAGCTCCCTGGCTTACTCTTTTTTTTTTTTTTTTGAAACCATAACATTTTATTTTTATGACTGACTGAAATCCTCAAGATGAACTGGATGCTGCAACAGCTGCCCTTTTGGGTTTAGGTATTGTCCCTTCATGGAATCCATGTCTGAATCTTCGATAGACAATTTTTAGGTGCCTCATCCGCCCAGTCCCGGTAGTGTTTCATCTCTTAGCCTTGGCACTCCAGTTATACTTTCTCTTGCGCTTAGCAGGGTAGCCGCATTTGCCACAGGTGGGCTTCTGAAGGTGGTAGGCCTTGGAGCCACAGTGGCGGCAAATGTGCGCGTCTTATTGCGACGCTTTCCAAAGGATGAGGTTCCTTTCGTCATCTTGCTTCTGCCGCTTAGGCCAAAGAGACCTGAAGAGCCCTGGCTTATTCTTGCTGGTAGAAGCGCTGTGAATGACATGTGTAAAGGTAGGTGCTCACAGAGTCCAGAAAAGGTTCCTCGAGCTGAAGTTCCAAGCACCCAGGAGGTAGAGACAGGAAGAACAGAAATGCAGAGTCATCTACGGCTCATTGGGAGTTTGAGGCCAGCCTGGGCTACATGAGATTCCGAACTCAAAAAGAAAAGGAGGACAGAGAGGAAAAAAGAAAGGGCTGGAGATAGGGCTCAGACTGCTTGCTGCTCTTCCAGAGGACCTGAGCTTGGTTCCCAGCACACACTTCCAGTGGCTCACAACCATCTGCAAGCCCAGATCCAAGGCACCCCACACCCTATTCTGGCCTCTGCAAGCACCTGTGAGCGCACACACATTTAAAATGATAATAAATGAAATTAAAAAAAAAAAATCACTCCCAGCCCGGCGTTGGTGGCGCACTCCTTTAATCCCAGCACTCGGGAGGCAGAGGCAGAGGCAGACGGATCCCTGGGAGTTCGAGACCAGCCTGGTCTACAGAGTGAGTTCCAGGACAACCTCCAAAGCAATACAGAGAAACCCTGTCTGGAAAAGACAAACAAACAACAACAACAAAACAAAAACAAAAAACAAACAAAAAATCACTCCAAATGCCTGATGTCAGTCTCTGCTAACAGCTGTATTCCGAGCAGCTTCAGTGCAGTGAGTAAGCATTCAGTCTCCTAGTGACTCCAGAACTACCTGGCTCCAAAAATCGGGCTCTTCCTGCCTCCAGAGTTGCAGTCCTCTCAAAGCCCGGCGCGGCTGAGGCTGGTTGAGTATTTTATGGCTGCCGGTGGATGCTCTGCACCTATTTACCCCACCACATATGAGTAGATGGGACTTTTGCTCCCAGCCAGCAGGAGGCGCGCGCGCATCGTGTTCTAGAGAGCCCCCACCTCCCTCAGAAGGGTCAA